GTTAATATTTTTCTCTGCATTGTGTGGGCAGCACCAACAAAACAAAAAAGTAAGTATTTTGCTGTAAAAGGGAATTTGACTGTACATTTGTTATTTATTAATATTTACTACTTTTTGAAACATTTTTAATTGAGAATTGCAGGAAAAATAATGTATGTGGAAATATTGTGATCATTTATATTCCCAAAGACTTTTGTGAATCTCAAGTTTTTGCCTGTCTGCTGATTGTGGTATTCTGGTTACAGAAACAGAGGCAAATTTTGTCTCTGAGGAAGTCCTTAAGCAACAGAATTTTGACTACAAGTGTCATGCAACTGTTTTCTGATTATCCAGTTTGTATATGATTAACCAAAGTAATAAAATAATGAGCACTGCTATCAAATCAAAATGCATGTGAAGTGGGCTTCAGTCTGTTCTCGTATGCCCAGGTTCCCTAATGGCCTAATTTGATTTGTTTGGTGGTTTTTGTTTAATTTACCTGAAGGGATGCCCATTTTGTAGTAGAATAAATGAAATTCTACAGGGTTCACCTGGATATTGAATATTAATAAGTCAATGAACTACTCTCATCTCAAAAGAAACAGGGATGAAAAGTGTCAGAGGACCAAATGGCACATGAGTCCGTTACACTGACTTTATACACTAGAGGAGCTCCAGTTACTGTGACTGAGGCAACATTGATTTCCAAAGGTTCATTTTCCACAAATACCATTTTCACAATGGAAGTAATGGCTCGTAGAGGCCCTCTTTCTGGCACAAGGGTACCCTCTCATGAAAAGGCAGCTTTCCTGCTTGGCACACTGAATAGCTGAGGGTAGCTGAGGGCAGCCAAATCCATGGTCTTTCCATGAACAGTGACTGCGAGAAGGTCCAGGTAAAAGCAGCTATTTAGTGTACTGTGGAGAGAAGAAAGGCTCCACATCAGAAGGAAGCTTAGCTGGGCTGATGTTCCCCAAAACCTCTTCCTCCACTGCCCTAGTGTCTCCTTGCACAAGCCCTTCCCTCTTACCCACTTGGAGAAAAGCTGAGCCTGGAGGTGCCCTGGGAAATGATGTTGCTCCTGGGGAGAAGAAACGCAGCTTCGAAGGCAGCATAGCCATGAGAACACCTCTGCCTGGCTCTGCATGGTGCCTCCAGACCACTTCAGGTGACAGGTGCCTCAGGGCTGCAGCAAACCTCATGGCTCAACAGTGGCTAAGCAGAAACCCCTAATGACTGCTGCTGCGCTTGCCACAAGGAGGGAGTGTCCCCAGGCCTGGGGTGGCTGTGGGGTCCACAGCCCTATCAGGCCAAGGGGCTGAGCCGTGCCCTTGGTGGTGGTGGTGGTGGGTTAAATGGCAGTATCTGGGGTGGATGCCAGCATGGCTCTGCTCAGCAGGGTGGACTGGCTGCTCTCAGGACCTCAGGCTTTTGGCACCCAGCACTTTTTGCAGAGGTGTGTGTTCCATTTCCTTACTAAAGCAGTTGGAAATGACAAACCTGGTATGCAGGGTGATGCCCCAATTACAGTTGCTCCTTGCAAAATGTGCCTTTCCACGGCAGCAGTTGTGCACAGTGCTGCAGGAGCAGAAAGCAGGGGAGCCAAGGGACAGAGCTCCCCGGAAAGCAGGCGCAAAGCCTTCCACCAGCTCTGGGGGTGGCAGAGACAGAGCCTACCGCCCTGGGCTGCACGGCATTCCCACAGGCACTGCTCTCAGGCATGACATCCAGAATTTAAACGCATGTTTTCCATAAAAGGCCAAAGCCTTTTTTACAATTCTTTGAAAAATGACTTCTACACAACAACTTCAGTTCAAAGGTTTGAGATTTAATTAAGTTTTCAAATCGTTCGTGGCACCTAATGAGTTGTAAATACTCTGTAAGACTGTTGGCAATAAAAGACTCTTGGAAAGCATCTTGTGAAAGCTTTTTTCTTCTCCTTCTGTGGTTTGATTTGCATTTCTTTTGTAATCCAGTAACAAAATAAGTATTGGAATTAATAAAATAATATGAAAGAAATGTTAGTCTCCTCTGTAGTTCTTGCTCCATGTAAAACTATTGGGAGAGGGAGACCTGATTCAGTTTCTTTTATGCTCAAATCAACCTAGACAATAAAAAGCTTGGATTCTGGGATGTATTTTATGGAATCTTCTAGTATTTTAGGATGAAAGCTGTTCTCCATCTTTTTCCAGCTTCAAGGATAGGACATCTTCCTGGTTGGTTCCACTGCTGTTAAGCTCTTGACCTGCCCTACTTTAAAATTTGCTTTAAAATCTTCCAGAATCTGTGCTTTACCTAATATGACCCAGTGGAATACACCCACTGAAGACTGTATCCACAACAGTTTTTTTCTCCTCGCTTGTAAGTACTTTGCAGATTTTATTACCAGTGTTAAATGCGAGCCCACGAATCTTAGGAGCCTTCTTCAAGTACAGCAGGGTAGTGAACTAACAAAATATCCCCACAGCTCCAAAATAAGAGAAGAAAATCAAAGCAGAGTAAAAGGTTTTTGTACTGACATGCAATTACATGGCCTCCAACAGTGGAGTTGCTTGCATTACTTCTACCTTGCATCATCTCTTGACAATAGCTAAGGCTAGAATCCAGATGTTAAAACTCAATTTTATGTGCATGTTCTTGGACTTTGGCTATTGAAAATACTCATTTTTTCACCTAAATAGTGAGAATCATGTAACATCCTTGACATAGTTCATGTGGGGTCAGACACAACGTTTTCTGAAACCATTGTGTTGCTAAGGCCTTTCTGCTCTACAATAGCAAGGAATGTGCAAGCATGTGCCACCACCTCATGAACTAACATTTAGAAGTACACAAATATTTTAGCTGGCAATTTTCAAGACACAACTTCAGAGGAGAACTTCCACACTGAAAATACAGCCAAATAGCACTGTAAGATCTAAAAACCAAAGCAAGCCATGACAACGCAATGTTACCAGTTCAATTTGCCACATATGTACAGAGCTGCTGACCCAGCCTGTATCTGCAGTTCATATAGTTATATCATGCTCAGTTTAATTTAGCTTTTTATTCTTCTCTTAAGTGCACCGCTTTTCAACATTTTTGGTAGAAATTATTTTGTATTTACTACTCTCTTTCACAGTTATTTCATTCAAATACAGTTTTTCTTTGTTCTTACACTTTTCTAACAGCATAAAACATGTACAAGCAGACTGTTAACTTGTAAAAGATAATCACAATGCAAACCTCTACATTTTAAAGGCTTTTGCTACACACATTACACAACTTACACACTGTACATAGTTGAGAAGAGTCTAATGCTGCTGCTTTAAATGATAAAGACTGGAGTAAAGCTAAGGATGAGCTCTTTCAGGCTGTATATTAAAAAGGCCTCAACTACTTCTGATTGTGCATAGGGCAAGGTGTGGTTTGAGACACTAAAAACAAATCTTTGAAAGAACCCAATAAAGTTAGATGCTTACATTCTTACTGCAATACAATAGGAACTAACCTCAGAATTTCCCGTCAACCTCCACTGAAGCTTCCAGCCATAAAGTACTATTGATGGAAGTACTACAGGCCACTTCCATGGGGACTTGAAAACAATGGTTTATGAAGTCTTAACTGCTCTAGGTCTCGGGGAATCCTTCTGATGCTGAACACTGTCCTGTACAGAGGCTGGTAAGGCAGCAATGAATGATAAAGTTGTTTTCATACGGGTTTCTCTGGAACAGGCTCTCAAAAGAGTAAGTCTGGGGCTCCAGGAAAGTTAAACGGTCTTCCAAACTAAACAGGCTTTCACTCCAGATCCAAGGCAGGGTCAATTAAAAATGGAGATATGCCCTTCAGCATGATCCCGTTGTACCGCATCTTCCCTCTTGTATCTGCAAAAGTGCCCAGAGATAATAGGAGTGTAGGGTCCCGTTGCCAGAAAATGGGATCTTGTCCCACTAGCTGGACTTCTTCCCAGGGAGAAATTCTAACACAATCCCACGCTGTGGTAGTGCCTGGAGAGAAAAGAAGGAGCTCCTCCAGGACCCGTCTGTGGTTCTTTGCTTTCTGAAATGGTATACGTCTGTTTCAGAACTGAAGAATCTCAGTTTAGGTAGTGCATTCACAACGTACACAGGTTTATATCAGTTTGACATACACTTTTAAATACACTGGAAATAGTAAGGAAAAATATATGCATTAAAACAGTACATCCACTTGATACATGTGTATTGCTGGGTCACATTATAGCTACTTTAAATAAAAAACATATACAGTCTCTCTCAATGGTTATTTACTACTGCTTGCTTAAAAGAGGTTGTGAAATGTCACAGTGACAACTGTCATGTTGTCTTTCACTAAAGAGGAAAAGTTTGAATAACAGTGGAAAAAATAAAAATACTGCATTGATATGACATGATAAAATTTCTGTCAGTTAAAAGCTACTACTTCATATATTTTCAAATATCCCCATTGAAACATGTGTATCTATTTGTATAATTTGTCACCTTACACTGTATACTGCAATACAATGTCTAGCATATTGTAAACTTTTATGAAACAACAACTTTTTAATAAGGAACTGTACAAATATACAGCTATTTATACCACATACATATAAGGCTATTAACATAACAGCAAATACATATAGAGAACTATAATCACCAACATACATAATAAGCTTTTCTCCTCGTTGGCAATAATCAGTCTCGTCAGCAATGTTTAGTGAATGCTGACGTTTCTAACAGGTTTTCTTGATGTCTTGCAAGATCAGGCAGTGCCAAATGCAGCCTCATCATGCCATGCCATCGTGGTACAATGTCATGAGATGTGCATGCACTCTGTCCTGGCTGCTGGGTAGTGTGAAAGTTTTTTTCTGAATCAGGTGTGTAACTGAATGAACACCCAAAGCAATGATTGTTGATAAGTAAGTCCCCAAAGTTAAATAAGTGGTTAGTGTTATCTTCTGTGACTTAAGTGCATGAATGCTTAAACTACACTTGTAGTTTAAATCTAAAAGCCACAGAAAGGTACTTGTCTCGAGGAGTCCCTTACTTACAGAAGTTTCCGTTGTGAAAGGAAGATTCATTTTTCTCAGCGATACATGAGGGAACATTCATCGGTGGGAAATCTTCCTTTGGCTTCTGGGTATTGCTGCTGCTGGATTTACTTCGACTGTGATCTGGCGTGGGCTGAATAGGCAAGGATCTGGCCACCTTGGATTTTACCAGGCAGCCACACACAAGGCGGAAGAAAGCCCGACGCATTTCCTTACTGGCCAGAGTGTAGATGATGGGGTTCATTGCAGAGTTGATGACTGCCAGAGCAATAAACCAGTTGGCTTTGTACAAGATAGAGTACTCCTTGACTCTGCAGGCCACATCGATGAGGAAGAGGATGAACAGCGGAGACCAACAGGCAATGAAGACACTAACAACGATCACGACAGTCCTAAGGAGCGCCATGGATCGCTCCGAGTTATTGTGGTTAGTGACATTACGACTGCTGGACTTTACTAGGATGTAGATACGGGCATAAAGGATGACAATGGCAACCAAAATGGCTATGAAGATACTAATGCAGAACACAACATACTTCTTGGAATACAGAGGCAAAATTGTTGAGCAATCTGGTAAGTTGTTTATACAGTTCCAGCCGAGGATGGGTAAGGCACCCAAGGAAATTGAAATAAGCCAGCATGTACCAATGAGAAGGAACACTCTGTATTTTTTATTTGCATCATAAGGCCTCATTTTGATCATGGTCAAATGCCGCTCAATAGCTATTGCTAGTAAGCTAAAAGTGGAGGCTCCCAGGGCAACAAACATACTGCCTTCCCTAATGAACCAGATTGTGGAGGACAAGCTCAGAGTTTTCTTCCCAGACATAAGAATGTTTACTTTGTAAACAATCCCAGCTAAAAGATCACAGAGAGCTAGATTGCCAATAAAAAAGTACATGCGGTTGTGAAATTTATTGTTTTTCCATATGGCAATCAACACCATCAAGTTTTCCAGGACTATGAAACTACATAGGATCAGAAATGCAATAGTGGGCAGGTCTATGTTATCAGTTGCCTTTTCCCTTAAAATCAGCTTTCCTGTGTAATTATAATGCAGTACGATCAGGGAGTCCATCTCTTCACTTCCTTGAGGGCTGACAAGAGCATCAGGTAGCATGGTCACTGCTGCCATCATTTGTTTGCTGATGCTGGACTTTTCTCCTTCAGTACCACGTGAATTTAGTTCCAATAATTTTCCACAAGAGGGAGATCAAGCTACGTTCCTTGAAGCACCCCTCTGGGCCAGTGGTGGGTATCCCCAGCTCCAGCAAGCCTTGCATATTAATTCGAGAGAGTGGCTGGCAAACCAGGCTCTGAAAATAAAATCAACAAATGCAACATAAATCTCACTGTCTTCCCACGTCGCCCGCAGCCTGTGAAGGTGCTCAAGCCGCAATATACACCCAGGAGACGAGAAGGACACTGACTGTGATGCGGGGGCCACCAAGGTCTAGCACTGCTGCGTGCTTATCAAGGTGGCTGTGGGTAAGCTGCTGGCTGGGCTCTGCACAGGTGTGGCTCTGCTGTGGAAATACAAGGGCAATACAGAGAACTGCTCATAGGTGTTGTTTCCAACTACAGAATTTTCATGCTGAAAAAAAGGCAGAGGATCAGTAAGAAGGATTAGCAAATGGCCTCTGCAAGCCCCAGTGTGCACAGCAACTGGCTCACTCCTTCTCAAAAAGACCTAAGTGTACATGTACCAAAATACCACCCAACCATGACTGCCTGAGCAGCAGCAGGGCAAACTCACTGCTTTCCAAGCTTGCCCCCGTTCCCCATGCAGACCTAAGGCAGCAAAGAGCCTGAGAAAGTTGGTGTCAAGTCTTGATGCCAGTGTGCATGTTGCCAATGCCTAAAATAACTTCCCATCCTAAATGATAGAAAATTATGTTACTAACAATTAACAAGACGCTCTGAAAGCCAGTCATCATAAAACCAATCCTACTTCCCATGCAAATTAGTTGGATTTCTGCTACCCTTTTTAAAATAAACATAGCAAGTCACATCTTTTTAAGTACCGCTTTTCTTCGTGGTTCATTTTACTTTTTTTCCTTTGCATGTGTATACAAGACACACATTTAAGGGTTTTTTTACATAAAAATAGTTATACCAACTTTAATTGTTCTTCTCAATTTACTTCTGTTTTTCTTTAAGTTATGACTTAGATCAACTGCAGTGTTTCCCCATGGACTCTGATAGGTAGCATTTTCACAATAGATCCTCCTGGCTGTCTTTTTTCCATTGCCATATATAAATATTGGAAGAGATCTGCCAACTTTGTAAAGATACCAGAAGATGTCAGAAGTGCTTACTGTTTTACCAGAAATGTTACATTTCAGTAGCTGTATACTCAAATGAGAATCAGTGCTCATGCCCCAAATGTATGTATTGAGGATGAACAGACAGACAGTTTTTCAGCTTAGTAACCTAATCAGGACAGGGATGAGGAAAGAACTGGTTCCACGTGAACCAAATTTCTAAAGATTTACTTTTTTTCTGGTAAAGGTAAGAAAATAAAAAGTCATGCTAGATGGGAGGACACTTTCCATTGGGCCAAAATGAAATTGCTTAGATCAGGGAACTCTTTAAGAACCAGAACTCCTGACCTTTACATTTATTTACTCAAGGGTCATGAGTATTTCCCAAACATGTGAAAGACACTTTCAAAGCACAGGTATCAAGCAAAGAAACTGAGATCTCAACCTCTGCTAGAGATGAGCACACCAACAGTTTTCAGCCTGCAGCCTGCACATCCCAAGGAATATCTCATTTACTCTGGCTGGTAGAGTAGGCTTACTGTCAACAGGTTCAGGTTTAAGATAAAGTGTCTGTACTTTCACTGGAAAATAGCAGCCTTGCAGTACTTAAAGGGGACCTACAGGAAAGATGGGGAGGGACTCTTTATCAGGGACTGTAGTGGTAATATGAGGAGGTAATGGTTTTAAACTGGAAGGGGGAAGATTTAGATTAGATATCAGAAAGAAATTCTTTCCTGTGAGGGTGGTGAGACACTGGAACAGGTTGCCCAAGGAAGTTGTGGATGCTCCCTCCCTGGAAGTGTTTAAGGCCAGGCTGGATGAGGCTTTCAGCAACCTGATCTAGTGGAAGGTGTCCCTGCTCATGACAGAGGGGTTGAAACCTTTAAGGTCCCTTCCAACCCATATACAAGTTTCTTAAGATCACAAAAATATGCGGGCCACTGCCATTCCAGCACTCTGTTTTGGGCACTTGAAAAACAGGAGATGCATTTTCAAGTGCCTCTGGAAGAGGGGAGGAGTAAACCACATGCCAGTTGAATGTAAAGGGATTTAAAGGATGACCCACACCCTGTTTTCCCAGCCTCCCTTTCCCTTGGTTCCCTCCTTCATAAAAGAAGCAATCTGACAAAAGCCTACAGTTAATTGACTTGAATTCTTCAGGACATTCAGGATGTTTTAAAATGTTTTTTTTAGAAAATAATTTACTATTTACCCCGTTATTATTATTATTTCCCCATTCTAGTTCTTAGGTCCAAAGTACTTTGGAAGACCTGCTGGGAGAGACATAATACTCAAGAAACACAGTTGTTGCTTGGTGTCCTTGATCTTTTTTATTCTGAAGATGAGAGCAACCACCTAATTCATTTCCCAGGAGCAGAATTGGGCCCTTGAGTTGTTGACCTCTTTTCTGAAGCATGGTAACAGTGGAGCTCTTTAACAGAACAACTTCACCTCAGCTAAGGTTCAAGCTAATTGTAATTCATTTACAATCTGCACACTGTTATCGCAGAAACTATCACAGTCTTTCATTGTATTGGCTTACAACAAAACGCCACTGTGTCCATATGAATTGCAAGTGCTTTCCACTGTAAAATAAACAATTACATCTGACTAGAAAAGTGCTTGTTAATGATAGCTCAACTAGCAATACTCACCAGACTCGCTGATGGCTGCCTGGAGAGAATCATATTTGTATCATTTAAGGGCACCACATTCAACACAACAAATGTTTCTGTCTTTTCCAAAAAGAGTTACCATACTAGTCCATCAAGGGACAAATATATTTCTTTCTCTGAACAAAATTATATGCCAGACTTAAGACTTTATCAACCACAACTCAGCAGCTGTAAACTGTCATGACTCTACTAAAGGCAACAGTGCTATGCCAGTTCCCCTGGCTGAAGGCATGGACAATGCACTCAATCAGCAGAAATCATACATGGTCTCTGCCATTGTTGGTAATTACTTCTTCTCTTAAAATTAGTACAGCAAACTTAGTATCACATAAGTAAATCTGCCTCTGACAGGCTAGCAGCAAGGCAATACTGACTGTAACATTATTATTTGCCCTGACTCTCAGGGAATGAATATCACTTGTACTCTGGTACAAGCCACTTGAAAGTTAATATAAATAATAATGTAATAAATTAAAATCTATTCTCTTCTGGCAGCAACATTTCCAGGTAATACCTTTCAGTCATATTATTTTTTTGTTTTCCTTCTGCTGTGTACCAGTAACTCAGAAAGCACATTCATTTTTTAACAGTTAGAAAAATTAAAGTTGGTTGCATATTGTAACAACAAGACAGCAGCAGCCAGGTCCAGGATATCTGTGTTACTGCTCTGTGACAGCTCTACAACTCACCCCTCAAAACATCTTTGTTCCAGTCACATGCAGGGGACTAGCCACTAGATGCAAAGCACAGACCTCAGCTCAAAATATCAAAAAACCCACCTGAGGAGCCTGTCTGTGGCATATTGTGTGTTGAGCATTGCCTTGGCTAGGCACCTCAGTACCTCGAGCTCTTGGTACCACTGGAAATCAGTTTTACTCTCTCTAAAGCAAACCAGAGGATCCCTGTTGCTGCACCACCAGGCGCCACTAGAAGGATAAAGGGGCAATCTGGCTATACTTCCTCACGGACGTGATGGCCAAAACAGCGTTTGCTAAATTAGTCACATAAAGGCAGTGGTACAACGTCAAGAACCACAGTCACGTGAAGGACAACTCAGTTGCCTTCTTCAGCTATTTGGCTGACCTTTGTCATCCCTGCTCTAAGGATGGAGAGACCAGCTGGGGTCAGCAGCAAGCACCATCAGTTGCCCCTCCTGGGAAACCTCCCTGCTTAGCACCATGCTTTGGGATTTCTGCAGTGGTTAGTGTGCTCTTCTGCAGAGGTCAAGGATCCTAGTAGGGCTGAGCACCCTTCCAGGTTGGAGCAGGGTTCTTCACCATAGCTCACGACCCTAGCGTCTACCAGGGTCTGTATGGTCCCTGTGCCACATGTGCCACGAAAAGGGCAGTGCTGTACGGTACACCATGACCCCTCCATCTGCCCTATGGCAAGGCACACCTCCACTGCCCTCTCCAACCCCACCACACAGTGGTACGGGTGGAGACTCAGGGCTGTACCTCTCACCATCTCCCCACAGGTAACTCCCTGGATAAGGCAGTGGAGTCAACCTGCAATTTTCCTGTGGGAATGTGTAATTCGCAATGCCAGGAGGCAATGGAGAACTGGTGATAATAGGAATGCCAAAGCCCTTCAGCAACCATCCCCAGTACATCTGCACGCTCTGCTCCCAGCAGTGCTCTGGTAAGAGTCCCACGGGGAGCTGAGGGCTTTTACTATCTCATGAGTCACTGGGTACTTCACAGCTGAAAGAGTAAGAAATTTCTGTTTTCAAAACAGAGAGCCAAACTGCTCTCAATTTTAAAGATATCCTGAAATCAAAGCAACAAGTGAGAATAAAGCCCAAGTGAGAACAGGACTTAATTTTCCCCTATCTACTTTTGCCTACACAAGAACATATGGTGCTATGTGTTCAGCACACTCACTGCAATCAGCTGAAACTGTGTTTTCCTGCCTTCCAAATATCCACAAACAGACTTGACCAAAGAGCCTGGATCCCCCCTTCACCACCACCATCGCACACACTGCAGTTCTCCTGTCTCTTCCACACACCGCCATATGCTTTGGCCATCAATGACAATTTTAAGAAAGGCAAAGGGAAAGTCAAAAATGTGTATGTGAAGCCAAAGTTTTGAATTTTTTTATTTATTTTTAAAACCTTTTCAGATGAAAAGTAAACACGTGTAATTTATCAGGCACACCCTGGTACTGTTAAACTTAAGAACAGAAAAGGCTTCTGA